ACAAATTGGGAGGAATTTTGGGTCTAGTGATTAAGGGACCAGGCTACAAAGTCAGAGACGGTGAGTTCTAGTACTGTCTTAGCCACAGAAGCCAGTTAGGTGACTTTGGGCCAATCACCAGGAGAAAGTGAGTTCTAGTTCTGCATTAGGCACGAAAACCAGCTAGGTGACTTTGGGCCAATCACCAGGAGACGGTGACTTCTGGTTTTGATTTAGCCATGAAAGCCAGCTAGGTGACTTTGTCCCTCTCTCTCAGCCCAACTCACCTCACAAGTTTGTTGTTATAGAACAATAGGAGAAGGAATGTGTATTGCATGTTTGCTGCCTTAAGTTATTTTTAAAAATAATACAGGTGGGATGCAAACAAATAACAGTAATAATAATAATAGTAATAGTAATAATAGCAATAATAATAGCAACAATTTTTAAATTTTTAAATGTTCAGTTGACTGAGTTTCATGTTTAATGAATAAAAGAGAATAATAATAATAATAATAATAATAATAATAATAATAATATGATGATGATGATGATGATGATGATGATGATGATACTGGAATTTGTGGAGCTGTTACAATAGATATTAAGCACTGTACAGACAGAATCAATATGGTGATTTCAAGCAGTTCTTATCACTTTATGAACTAATACTATTGCATCTAAAAGAGCACTGAACATTATCAAAGTTATTTGGTAAACTGACAGAGAAAATTTGTGTGTGAAAAAATGTAATTTCTAGCAACGTTCTTATGCTGGTTATTCTTCGAATTGAGGAAACAAAGGGAAAATTCCTCTCTCTCTCTCTCTCTTGATGGACAAGATGGAGTCTCTCTCTAATGAAGAGCCATGAGAGGGGAGCCATGATAGCAATCTTCCAATAATTGAGGCTCTGCCACAGAGAAGAGGGGGTCCACCTGTTCTCCAAAGCACCTGAAGGCCAGACAAGGAATAATGGATGGAAACTAATCAAGGAGAGAAGCAACCTAAAACTAAGGAAGAATTTCCTGACAGTCAGGAACAATCGACTAGTGGAACAGGCTGCCTCCAGCAGTTGTGAATGCTCCAACACTGGAAGGTTGTTTTTGTTTTTTTTTGGAAGAGATTGGACAACCATTTAAGATTTCCTGCCTGAGCAAGCGGGTTGGATTAGAAGATCTCCAAGATGCCTTCCAACTCTGAAGCTTCTTCAGTTCAGTTTTTTTTTGAAAATGCATCTTTGGGACAAACAAGTTTACCATTTTTAATATTGCTATTTCTGTTAGTTGCACATTCATCCAGGTGTTTAGACCATATTTAGCATTCTTATCTACCTGTTGAATTCTTATCAAGGACGTCGGCTAGGCAGATGTAGACATTTAGTATGTGAAAAGTGTCGCTGAAGAAGTATTTCTAACTGTGGTGTGCTCTTGATGTTTTCAGGTGTTTGTAACAAGACAAATTGCAAACCATCCTAAGGACTTTTGGATCGGGCATAATTTCAACATCACATGGAATTGCGTCGATGGCACAGTAACAAAAGTGTTGTAAGTTGGTCCATGTTATGGACTCTATTTCTATGCCTTCTTCTATAGAAACCCTGAAAGAAATCCCTGCTTGTATTCTGCTGAAAGCTCTATTTATCCTTATCAGGAATATACAATCTGCAGCCCCAGGGTGTGACTACCTGAAAGGACACACTGGGTTCTAAGTGTCATGGGACAGAAGGGGAAAATTATTAAATAAATTCAACAGACAAAGCACAGAAAAGGAATAACAAATTAACTGGGCTCACCCATCACTATTACATTGTCTTTTGCTCCTTAAAATGTCCCGAAGGTGTTTCCCCCCCACTCCCCAGGAGGCAACTGGACTTTCTTCTTTTTCCTCTTTTCTTTGTTGCCTCCTGAAAAAGCACCTTTGGGACAACCATGACCTGGATGACTGAGAATCTCCATAGGCTCCTTAAAATGTTAATTTCTCATCCACTCCATCCAACCATGAATTTCTTAATTCATTCAGCCAGTTCCCAAACAGTTTCCTTTCAACTTGGACTTTTTCTGCCTGTTCTTTCATCTGTCTGATTACTTCCTTTGCAGCTATGTTTTTCTCTGTATGCACAGCTTTCTATCATCTTCATTTTTTGTTTCAGTCATTCTTGTATACACATGTTTCCCTCATCCACAGTCTCTTTCACCTCATCATTCTTCCAAGCATCCTTTTTTATTTGTCCCATCAGTGTGACTGATTGTTACAGCAACTGCACAGCCATTTGTCTGAAATGGTGTTGGGTCTCCTGCTTGAGCAGGGGGTTGGACTAGAAAATCTCTAGGGTCCCTTCCAACCAGGGGTGAAATGCTCCCAGTTCAGACCGGATCGCCCGATCCGGTAGCAATGGCGGTGGGTGGTTTGGAGAACTGGTAGCAAAAATCCCTGCCCCCACCCCCATGCCCAGCTGAGCTGCGTGATCATCAGAGGCTTTTTTTCCTTTTAAAAGCGGTATAGAAATAAAATAAAATAAAATAAATAAATAAATAAATAAATAAATAAATAAATAAATAAATAAATAAATAATCCTTTTTTCCCTTTCTCATATCTTTCATTTCCTTCTTCTTTCCCATGCTCACCTTCAAATTGCCAAAAAAAGGGCAGACCTAGACCAAGAAAGTTACATGGGCCTCTTCTACCACAGGGATCCCTAAGAGGTGAAAAATGTCAACAGAGGAGCCATGATGGCAGACAAAATGCCTGCTCGCTTTTATAGGCATTACACACATGTGTAAAAAGGACTAGGCCTTTGATGATGTGCTTGTGGTCAACCTTCTTGATTTTTTTGACCTTCCCAGGGACAGCCCTATCCTCATTATTCTCCCATAGATGACTACTGATCTTAATTGCCTGGGTGACTAACATATACTGTGTTTGACTTCCAGCTACTGGTCTGTGGCAACTGTAACCGATTACTATAAAGACAAATGTACCATTGTCCTATCCCGCTGTTTGACGGCACCAAACTGCTGGACTAATGTTGATTGCTCGATAGATTACTTCACCATTTGTGAGAGGAAGCCAGATAAAAAGTGGCACATATAAAATGCAGCCCCTTTCAGCAAGCTATAACTGAATTGGTACAACAGGCGAAGCCCTTCAATATCCAACAGAATTACCGAAACGCCTGATGGAAGAGTTCAGCTTTCTGCATGTCCAAGACCAGTTCTCTAATGGGTGTCTTTGAGCTAAAGAAAATGACTTTCTTGTCCAACGCATAGACATTACGTGTCTACCAAAATGAAAGATGGAATGGCTTGGTCGTATCCTCCTTTCCACTAGAAATAAATTAATTTTGTACGTTGCCTTCTGCTTCCTTACTCGATCCTTCTTGACGCTCTGTTTGTTTTTCACACACTGGCAATTTATACATTGCAAACCCACGACAATTATTATTTTTGTCCTATTTGCCCCCCATGCCATCATCTGTTAAACACATAATTCCATGGCACTGTCTTATGTCTAAGGATATTTACCCAGGTAGTAGGGCTATATTGCTATTATCCTTTTTATCTTTCCTATTATCTATTACAAAGTGATAGTCCTAAAACACCAATAGGAGTATTCATTCTTCATTCTTCATTCTATTCTATTCTATTCTATTCTATTCTATTCTATTCTATTCTATTCTATTCTATTCTATTCTATTCTATTCTATTCTATAAGGAGAGACACAATCCACATTGTTGTAGTTACTGCAAATTGTAGCATCACAATGAGGAAGCCATATTTAATCAGCAAAGACAAAGATTGATAAAAGGGGGGGGGGAATCTGTATTTCCTAATGAACCTTATTACCAACAGCCTCGTGAACACGAGGATCATGATTCCCAAAGCTTCCACGGGGAGTGACCAGAGATGTTGGGGATGGGGCCCTCCTGCAACGGGCGAAGGGAGCCTCGAGCTGTCAGAGAGTGCTGTTTCTAGGCCTATTTCAGGAAAAAGAGGAGAGGCGGTTGCCTCTCCAGGGGAGGAGGACTTGTCTTCCTGCCCTGCAGAAATGGTCACAGCCTGCACTTGTACTGGGGCAAGAAGGTTCGGTGCCCAATTCCTCCTCACAACGGGACAAGCCACTTGTGCCACCTGCTCGGATTTAATGGCGACCCAATTCACGGAATGCCAATCCTGCACGCTGCCTCCTCCTGTTCCTGGAGAGTGAGAGAGGAATGATGCTGGGAGCCCATGCCAAGAAGAGACTCTCCTAGCAGGGCCCCCAGAGCAGGGAGGTTTGCCCAGCTAAAGCATGGCAGGCCCTGAACTGGGCAACAGTGAGATAGGAAGACACTGGAGGCAGAGCATCACTTCAAAGGCAATGGCAAGGGCGTCATTTTGGAGGCAATAGAACTCCAGGAAGCCATCTTGTCTTCCCTCCTTCTCGCCTGCTGCCTAGCAACAGCCCTTTTATTGGCCACTGCTGCCTATCTTTTAGTTGCAAACTTCACTTCGATTCCTGAGCTTTGGCTCTGTTTATTTGGCCATTCCCTCATAAGGCCTGTGGTGGCAGAGCTTCAGGCAACCATCTTGTCTTCCCACCTTCTCACCTCCTGCCTAGCAACAGCTCTTTGATTGGATATTGCTGCCTATCTTTTAGTTTCAATCTTCACTTTGACTCCTGTCTTTGCTCTGTTTATTCAGCCATTTCCTCATAAGGTCTGTGGTGGCACAGCTTCAGGCAGCCATTTTGTCTTTCATCCTCACTTCCTGCCTAGCAACAGCCCTTTGATTGGCGGATACTGTTTGATTGGCAGCTGGATCAACGTGAGGATACCATAAGGAGAGGGAAGAAGGAACACAAGGGCCTATCACCTGCTCAGGGAGGCAGTCCTTCTAAGGGCCAACTAATCATGAAGAGGCCCATCCAGAGTCACCTGACCCTCAAGGGCCAATAAAAGAAAAGAAGCGGGGTCTGTCAGGTTTTGGCGGGAAGGGTTGAGGTGTCTTTGGGGAGGGAAGGCAGCCATGATGGGTCCCCTCAGGGAAGGCTGGAAAGTGGCTTGGCTATAGTTCAGCTTTAGGATGAAGGCCATCACTAGCTTGGCTGCCCTGTCCAATTTCAACTTCCTCATGAAGCCCAGCTACAAATCCAGATAGAAACTATTTTTAGGTGCTGCCTTACTTCTAAGACTGGCTAAATATTTGCTTAAGTTTTATTGTTGTTATTTTAATCATTCAATCATGTCCTTGGGGACTTTTGGGGACTCTATAGGCAAGTGCTCTCCATGCGGCCCTGTCAAGCACAGCTTCCTTTGATTGTTGAATGTTAATCTTGGTATCGGTTTTAATAGAATCTAATCAGGGTCTTCTTTGCTTGCCCCCCCTTTTTTTGTTCCACTAACCATGCCTAACATCACTGCCTTCTCCAATGAATTTGCATGCATGACAAGGCCAAAGTAAATCAGACATAGCCTCGTGATTTTGACTTCTAATGATGTGCCTGGTTTTATATCATTTAACCCCGCTCTGTTGGTTGCTCTGGCTATCCCAGGAAATAGAGGAAGTTAGAGATGTTTGTGTACTTGGTATGGCCAAGCCCATAGCATAATAAAGATAAGAACTTGCTTAGTGACATACTTTTAATACTCATGTGTCTCTTACCCTGACTTCATCTATATCCAAGAATGGAGTTGCTACAAACCTAAGTGACAACCAATCATTTGTCATTTGAGTCTCTTTGTTCATGTAAAACAGATCAAAAGCTGCATGTAGCCTGCATTTTGCAGTGGGAGGGGAACTTCCATCTTGGGAGTGGTCTCCATGTGATCTTTGTATAACTGATCAACCTCAGTGAACCCTTACAAATCAACTATTTGGAGATTGAGTGTTGGGTTCATGGTCTTGACTGAGTAGATGAACGTAGTGTTATAAAGATGACCCTCACTGTATAAACTACTGAGAAAGGAGCGGGAGGTGTGGAATTCATGATTTCTTTTCTGTTGATTGGCAGCTCACCAGCTCCAGTTGGTCAGTAGCAGATGCTGAACTATAAGAGTTCTGGAACCTTCAGCATTACACAGGAAGGACAATTGAAGCTGTTGGAAGGAGCAGTCCCAAGAAGGAGTTGAACAGCAGGAATATAAAACCATGGTACACTAAAAGGGACATCACTAGGTAAGACGTTTGTTCCGATGAGGCTACACACATCACTGTAGGCTAACCCCTCTGGCTTCTGTTTTGCAGAACTGAGGGGTCCTTGGTGTTCTCTCAGCTTGGTTGATTTCTTGCACACATTTCATTACCCAAATTAGCGAACATCATCAGTGCTAGCATCATCAGGACTAGCACTGATGATGTTACTTGGTTTGGGAAACAAAAAGATCTGCAAGAAAACAACCAAGCTCAGAGGGCACCAAGGAGCCCAGAGTCGTCGTCGTCGTCCTCCTCCTCCTCCTCTCCACAAACCCCACTCCCTTTTAGCACTGAAATGTTACCTGGTTTGGGTAATGGAACATCTGCAACAAAACCACCAAGTTCAGAGAACAGCAAGAACCCTTCATTTCAACCCTGAACTACAAATTATTTATTATTTATTAGCTTTTCAGAACTCAAACTCAGGAACTTGTTTCTGAATCCTGTTTCAGTTTTTTCTGCATGGAAAGCCAATATCGTCTAATTGAACAAATTTGATTTATGAGGGTTGAATTTTGGGAGCTGATAGGGGCCTCTTTGATTTGCACTTCTGGGCCAAAAGTCATGTGCATCACTCTACCTTGACTTCCATCTGGGCTAAAAGGCAAGATACACATCAAATAATTTCTCAACAAGGCATACTTCTAATTTTCCATTCCATATCTGACCCAACAGGGAAAAAAAATCCAAGGAAAAAATATTCAAAATGAGAAGTTAAAATGGGGAATAGAGAAATAAGACAATTACAGGTACTAAAGGAAGGTAAGCTATCACATTTTATGGAACCACACTATTTATAAACCGATAAATGAAGGACGTGTTTCTTAGTGGTATCTTCTAGAAAGCCGACCACTCCCATTGCCACCTTGAATGGGCCAACTTTTGTAACTCCACCTTTTCTGATAGTAGAGGCGGTCGACCTATTCTCCAAAGCACCTGGGGGCAGGACAAGAAGTAATGGATGGAAACTTAAGAAAGAGCAATCCAGCCTAGAATTAAGGAGACGTGACCTGACAGTCAGAACAATTCATTAGTGGAACCTCCAGAAATTGTGGGTGTTCTGTCACTGCAGTTTTTAAAGAAGACACTGAACAGCTATTTGTATGGAATGCTGTAGGGTTTCTTTCCTGAGCAGGGGGTTGGTCCCTTCCAATTCTGTTATTCTGTATTCTTAATAGCTCTACATAAAGCTGGAAATGTAGAATTCTGGATGCAGAAGGGACAAGTCCAGTGGTGGGATTCAAAAATTTTTTACTACCGGTTCTGTGGAAGTGGCTTAATGGGCATGGCATGGCTTGGTGGGCGTGGCAGGGGAAGGATACTGTAAAATCTCCATTCCCACCCCACTCCAGGGGAAGGTTACTGCAAAATCCCCATTTCCTCCCGATCAGCTGGGACTCGGGAGGCAGAGAATAGATGGGGGCAGGGCCAGTCAGAGATGGTATTTACTGGTTCTCCAAACTACTCAAAATTTCCGCTACCGTTTCTCCAGAACTGGTCAGAACCTGATGAAACCCACCTCTGGACAAGTCACTGCAAAAATGATGATTTATTTACATTCCCCAAACTGAGTTTTCTTTCCTGTCCCCTTCTTAGCAACATAATAAATATTAGGAACAAAAAAGAGGGTCACGTATCAGTGCCTTCAAATAATCAAAGTTTCTGCTATGGTTCTACCGCACCAAAAGCTAAGCAAAAGAAGGTTGTGAAAACCAAGATAGAAGACATCCATGAAAATAGGAGCAGAGAATCTATCCACCAGGTGAATTAGCTGTGTGTCCTGAAGTATGGCAGGACATGTGGGAGTGGGGAGGGGGAAGAGTTTTGGGAAAGAATGGGAATTGGCAGTAAAGGTTGTTGAACAAAAAAAAGGATCAGAGGGCAAACTAGACGCCTGGACCAGAGAGCAGATGAGCAACAAATGTGGTTTTTTTCCTCCCTGAAATGTGCTGATCACTCAGACTTGGGGCTAGAAAGTGAGCTTAGGCAAGTTAAGTGAGTTTTGCCCCATTTTACAACCTTTTTTGCCACAGTTGTTAAGTGAATCGTTTCAGTTGGTAAGTGAATCTGGTTTACCCATTGACTTTGCTTATCAGAAGGTCGCAAAAGGTGCACTGCAACTGTCTGAATGTGGATGATGCGACCATGGGAATGCTGCAACAGTCATAAGTGTGAAAAATTTATTTATTTAGTTAAATTTAGTTAAAAATGGTCATAAGTCACTTTTTCAGTTATGTCGTAACTTTGAATGGTCACTAATGAAGTGTTGTGAGTCGAGGACTAACTGTAATTTTTAAAATAAAATAAAATAACTCGAACAAATATCTTGATGCAAGCGGTCCTTGCTCTTCCTTCTTTCCCATACTTTCCTATACTCTCCTGGTCCTGTGCTTTCAAGAAGTAAGAGCAGTGAAAACTATAGACAGTTGTCCCAAAGGTGCTTTTTCAAAAGGCAGCTGGACTTTCTTCATTTTTCCTTTTTTTTTTTACTGAAAAGTTTTACAAAAAAGAAAAAAAAAATTTTTTTTTCAAATATTTCCCCTTCTCCCCCCTCCCTCCCTTCCCCCCCACCCCACCCCTACCCCCGACTTCCCAGAACAAAATACAGGGTAAAACAATTAACAATTATGTGCTAGGCTAAGCTAACTAACTACAGATTCCTATCCCCCCCTCAACACTTTAACTTGCCTTTTACTTAACTAAATATACATACTCTTAACTTTTCTATTCATTCATAAGCTATTTGATACTTTTTAGTTCGATATTTGTTTTGAATGTAATCAATCCATCTTCTCCATTCCAATATATATCTTTCTTGTGAATGATCTTTCAAGTATGCTGAAATTTTCGCCATTTCTGCCAAGTTTGCCACTTTTAATGTCCATTCTTCAATAGTAGGCAATTCTTCCTTCTTCCAATATTGCACCACCAAAAGTCTAGCTGCAGTTATTAAATTTAAAATCAATTTAGTCTCTATAACTGTACAATCTGTGATTATACCCAACAAAAACAATTGTGGAGTAAACTTTATCTTCTTTTTAAGAATATTTTGGATAATCCACCATATTTTAATCCAAAATGCTTTAACTTTTTTACAAGTCCACCATATATGATAATAAGTAGCATCATCAAAATCACATCTCCAACACTTAGATTGCAAATTCGGATACATACAAGCCAACTTTTTAGGATCCAAATGCCATCTGTAAAACATTTGGTCCAAAGCCATGAAGGGCTTTAAAGGTGACAACCAGCATCTTGAATTGCACCTGGAAACCGGCAATCAATGCAGTTGAGGGGTGATACATGTACACACCAGGGTCTGCACAAAACCATGTGGGCCACTGCATTTTTCACTAACTGGAGCTTCTGGATGCTTTTCAGGGTCAGCCCCATGTAGAGCGCATTGCAATAGTCAAGATGGGAAGTGACTAGGGCATGAGTGACCTGTTGGTCCAGGAAAGGGTGTAATTGGTGCACAACCCACAGTTGCGCAAAGGCTCCCCTGACCACGACCTGCCCCCTGCTCTTTGAGCAGAAGTCGTGAGTCCAGGAGAACCCCCTGATTACTCACAGAGTCTGTTTAGGGTAGTGCCACCCCATCCAAGACCAAAGGTGGCAATTCTCCCTGAGTCAACAAACCCCAAACCCAGAGCCACTTGGTCTTGCAAGGGTTTAGTTTCAACCCGTTGCTCCCCATCAAGCACCTAACAGCCTCCAGGCACTGCGAGAGGGAGGATAATTGCTGGCGGGGAGGTGTATTGATAATATGTTTGGTATGCATCCATGAGAACAGTCCCACAGAATAATTCTACTGTCCCAAACTCATATTCTGCAGCACCCTAAAGTTCTAGATGAGCAAATAGGAAGTGCAACTTTGCTAACATCAAATAATGGAGTGGAATAGATTCAGATCTATTCTTGGGGAAATGAAGATCCGATCTAAGATACTCAGCCAGATTCCGATTCTGATGCAGACTCTGAATAAATACCGTATTTTTCAGTGTATAAGATGCACTCCCCCCCCAAAAAAAGTGGGTGGAAATGTCTGTGCGTCTTATACAGGGAGTGTTGCCACCCCGCCCACCTTTTGGCCCCCACCCTTCGGCCTCTGCCTCCTTGCAGCAAAAACTAAACAGCCTGGTCAGCTTCAGCACAATCTGAATTAGCATGAACAGCTGATTGGCAGTTGGATCTGCCTCCCAGAATACTGCCTATCAGCTGTTCCAGGCTGCAGGGATTGCCACCACCCATTGCTGCTGTCGCCACCCATCGCCACTGCTGCCTATCTCCACGCACCCCATTTTCAGCCTCTGTGCATCCCGTTTTCGGCCTCTGCATGCCCCATTTTTGGTCTCTGCGTGCCCCATTTTTGGCCCATTCCAGGTGGCAGGGATCGCCACCTGCCCCTGCTGCCCAGAATGGGCCAAAAATGGGGCACATGGAGGCTAAAAATGGGACGCTTGGAGACAGCAGCGACAATGGGCAGTGATTGCAGCAATGGGTGGTGGCGGTCCCTGCAGCCTGGAACAGCTGATAGGCAGTATTCTGGGAGGCAGATCCAACTGCCAATCAGCTGCTCGTCCTAAATCAGGCTGTGCTGAAGCTGAGCAGGCTGTTTCTTATTTGCTGCAAGGAGGCAAATTGCAGGGAGGCAATTTTTTTCTTTTTTTCCTCCCCAAAAGCTAGGTGCATCTTATAGTCTGGAGTGTTTTATAGTCCGAAAAATATGGTATATGCACACACAATCCTACTGTACAAACAAATTCCCAATAAATGTCTTTCCCACCCTTCTCTGTTCCTTGCATGGTTCAAAGAAGACACCTTTGCAATGATAAATAATGGGTGGACGGTGGTGAGCGGCAGCCTCTATTTTATCTTTTCCAACTGAGTGACATTTTATGAGGCCCAAAAGATCTGTGAATCCATAAACACAACGCTGGCTATTGTCATCCATCCCCAGGTAGAGGTAAGTGGAACCTCGGAGTAGTAGTGGAGAAAACTATCTGATCACAGGATCCAAAAGACTTGCCTCATAGCCCAGCTCTGTAAGGGTCTTTCTCATAGGGAGATCTGGAATTGCTTTTCAACCTCCTAACTCTTGCAACAAAAGTGGGGAGGCTGAAACCCTCTGCCCCTCTTCTTGTTTCATTTTCTTTCCTCAAGGTCCAACGGATTCCAGAGACAGGAAACAGGAATTATCCATTTCCCTCTATGTCCCTTAATGATATTAATATCACTTAATGATAGTCATACGGTACAAAATAAGCAATCAGGAAACAATCAATATCAATATAAATCGTAAGGATACCAGCAACAAGGTTACAGTCATACAGTCATAAGTGGGAGGAGATGGGTGATGGGAACGATGAGAAGATTAATAGTAGTGCAGACTTAGTGAATAGTTTGACAGTGTTGAGGGAATTATTTGTTTAGCAGAGTGATGGCGTTCGGGAAAAAACAGTTCCTGTGTCTAGTTGTTCTGGTGTGCAGTGCTCTATTGCATCGTTATTCTTACAAGTCCTGGATTGTGATGTCAAAAGATGCATCTCAAATCCCTTTCTGGCCTCCTCGTGACATGTTGCACCCTTCCTTGATCTGTAAATGGTTTGGGCTACTCCTTCCCAGCTAGCAAGGCTGCCCTTTCAAAAAGGCCTCCATTTTTGTTCAACTGTCCAAGATTTCTTTCCAAGCTCAAATTTATCCTGCATCTCCCTTTTTAAACACCAGGTCTTCTGGGCTAAAGTTGGCCCACCCCTTCTTGTTAACTTGATTGGGAAAACCAAGCGAGACAGTCCCATTCCTGCAAAGGTTTTGAGATGAGAAAAGCCTCGGTCCCAGAAAAGTCTCTAGAGAGATGCTGGTTTCGGTTTGTGTCTTTTGCAGTTATTTGTGGAGTCTCAGTCCCAAACGTTAAATCAAGGAATCTGGATTGGTTTGCAATTTTTTGAGAGAAACTGGTAGTGGATTGATGGAAAGACACTGTATCATCCACAGTGAGTCCAGGAACTAAACTTTCCTCCTGCCTTTATAGTGTAAGTTATTAAGAAGAATGTATCACACGATCTGCAGGTACACAAGAAGTTTCTAGGGTAAGTTCAGCAGAGATAAGAAGTTTCCAACCGTCTTTTTTTTTTTTTTAGCCCAGAAAAAACAGTCATTCCTTTAAACAAAAATGGACCCTCAAAATCGCCTCCTACGTGTTAATCGCTTTTGGTTGCTTGTTTGTCTTTTGCATTGAAAAAGGAAAAAATTTTTGGCTTGCAAACCATCTTTTCCTTTTTGTTGCTGCATGTGATTTTTGGGAGCCTAGCAAACAACGTGTGAGGAGGTGTGCGTGTGTGAAAAGTACACAAAGAACTAGACAAGATGGGTTTACTTTTCTTCTATTCCTTTTTACATTAACTGAAAACTTATGACTGTAAATCTTTTTTTTTTTTATATAAGCTGAGTGATTTTTCCCCCCTCTTTGTGGGTTGATAAACTATATTTTGAGGGAATATTACACTTTTTAACAAAGACATGATACCAATGCTTAAGAACACATTTGATTTGCCTTAACTTCCTTATTAAGTACTATTTGAGTACTTAAGTGCTATTATAACATTAGCCACAAGTGAGAGACAAAGACTCATTTTTAACAGAAGGAAGCCCCCACCTTCCCCACTCCTCCCCCAAGACTACAGTCATCGAAAAGATTATATAAAAAGATTCTGCTTGCTTTGGCTTTATTGGGAGCCCTTGCATGAAGATTGACAAAGTCATGGAAGAAGAGGCCAGGAGTGTGATGATTTGCAAAGTATGTGCCACAAATGTATTCACCCTTGTGGAGGATCCAAATTATACCTGCACCAAATGCAAACCAGCTGGATTGTTTGGAAGGGAAAGTGGAGGGTCTACTGGCAATACTAGCCACTCTGAGATTCATCTGTGAAAATGAGGAACTCCTAGTTGTATCCAAACTAAATGCAGCAAGGAAAAAAAACCAACAACTGCGCAAAAAAGATCCTGGAGCACCGGGGAACTGCCAGAGGACTGGAAAAGAGCTGATGTGATATAGTTCCCATCTTCAAAAAAAGGAAAAAAAAAATAGATCCAGGAAACTATAGACTTAATCAGCCTGATCTCAATACCAGGTAAGATGGTACTGGAAAAGATAATCAAGCAACAAATTAGCGAACACCTAAAAGCAAGCTAATAACCAAAAGCCAACATGGGTTTATCAAAAACAAATCATTCCAGACTAATCTTATTGCATTCTTTAACAAAGTGACAAAATTACTGGACCAGAGGAATGCTGTTGATATAATTTACTTGGACTTCAGTTAGGCATTTGATAAAGTAGACCTACTACTAGATAAAGTGAAAAATGTGGGCTAGACAGCATCACCACCAGATGGATTCATAACTGGCTGACCAACCGCATTCAACGTGTAGTCTCAATGGAACTGCACCTACCACGCACCTACATGGTACCCCAAGGCTCTGTTTTAGGCCCAGTACTCTTCAACATCTTCATCAATAACTTGGACGAGCAGATAGATCATCAAATTTGCAGATGACACCAAGCTGGCAGGAATAGCCAACACTCCAGAAGGTAGTCTGAAGCTACAGAAGGTTCTTGACAGACTTGAACATTGGGCACTATCTAACAAAATGAAATTCAATGGTGAAAAAAGTAAGGTTCTACATTTAGGCAAGAAAAACAAAATGCACAGGTACAGTATATGTGGTACCTTGCTCAATAGTAGTAACTGTGAGAGGGATCTCGGAGTCCTAGTGGACAACTATTTAAATATGAGCCAGCCGTGTGCAGCAGCTGCTAAAAAAGCCAACACAGTCCTAGGCTACATAAATAGAAGGATAGAAACAACCTGAGCACCTTTGCTCAGCTTGACTGGAGCCCTGCTCCTTGGTTCACTTGCACAAACCTCAGAGGGCACTGGCAATTCCACAAAGCTTGAGTATCCTTGGAATATTAAAATGTAAGTATTAAATTATTAGAAGTATTTTTTTTCTTGGCCGACCTAAACCCAGTGAAACAATTTATTTATATACTTATCTGTACCCCATCTTTATTGTTTTTACAAATAGCTCAAAGTGGAGAATATATGTACCTACCTAGCACTCCTTCCTCCTCTTACTTTCCCTACAACTCTGTGAGTGGGGGTTGGGCTGAGAGAGAGGGACTGGCCCAAAGTCACCCAGCTGGTTTTCCTGCCTAAGGTGGGACTAGAACTCATTGTCGCCTGGTGATTGGCCCAAAGTCACCCAGTCAGCTTTCATGCCTATAGCGGGACTAGAACTCGCCATCTCCTGGTGATCAGCCCAAATTCACCCCTGTCAAGACTAGAACTCCTGTCAATTGGACCAAAGTCTTGCCTAAAATGGGACTAGAACTCCCAGTATCCTGCTTTCTAGCCTGGTGCCTTAGCCACTAGATTCTTGATTAATTTTGTTCATTGGATTTCTATAAAATCATATATCATTTTAGAGATCTGGGCTACTGCATACTTTGTAGGTTCTTGAGGTGATAAGGAAATTATGGTTTTAATAAGGGTTCCTTCTCCTTTTTTCAGTTTCTGGATGAAATATAAGCCAGACCCCGCCTCCTTCAAAAGGGACAAGTGTGTTGAAATTAAAAAAAAAATATCCTACACCTGGGAATTGCTGGAGCAATCTTAACTGCAGTGCGAAAAGAATCCCAGCTTGTAAACTGGACCCCAGTCCAAAGGGAATGGGATAAAATTGGTGTTTCCCATTCTCTACTCAAATATATAAAAAACAAAACAACAGCAAAAACCGTAGCAAAAGTCAATGGTTTGGCTCTGTAAAGAAAATTCTACCAAGTTTACCTGCAGAACGGTGTTGTTTCAAAAACCTTTGAGAGTTGTGGATGACAACTTCTGCCAAATCCTTCAGTTATAGCTCACTTCTGGTAGCAAAAGATCAATAGATTGCAGTCGCTGTAATTTGTCCCCTGACAATGTTTCTTCAACAACTAGTTTCTCCTTCTGATTGTGATTACCTGTGCACATTTTAAAAATTTTGAAAAAAAAAAACTTTCCTGTTGCTGATTGTAGTATCTTTTTAAACAGCAGAAAGTTCCAAGCAGTTTTCCATCTGTGCATGAAATTCATTTGTGCGAATGTGCAAAGTCCCACAAAAATAACTACACAAAAAGCCAGTGCTGGGATCTGGGAACCTCATGGCACTTAACCAATGCACAAAACAGAATAATAGAATAATAGAGTTGGAAGGGACCTTGGAGGTCTTCTAGTCCAACCCCTATTCAAGCAGGAGACCCTATACCATGTCAGACAAATGGTTGTCCAATCTCTTCTTAAAAACCTCCAGTGTCGGAGCACTCACAACTTCTGAAAGCAAGCCATTCCACTGATTAATTGTTCTCACTGTCAGGACATTTCTCCTTAGTTCCAGGTTAGATCTCCCTTTGTTCAGTTTCCACCCATTGTTTCTTGTCCTGCCTTCAAGTGCTTTGGAGAATAGGTTGACCTCTTCTTCTTTGGGCAACTCCTTAGAATAGATATTGGAACCTTTCTTCTTGTCTCAGAAATATTTGCTGGGTTGTTGTTTCTTGAATTCTGGCTTGAATATCTGAGTGCCCATAAACCCAAACACACAACAAACAAGAACTTCCCAGAATAATCTCCCCTAAACCTTTCAGTAGTTGTAATGAGCCATGATTAGAAATTAAGTAGTAGATGGGAGTTTGTTAGAAAGAGATCTAACCTAGGAGTCAGAACAATTATTCAATGGAATAGCTTGCCTCCTGGAGTTGTGAGTGCTCCATCACTGGAGGTTTTCAAGAAGAAATTGGACACTGTCCAGGGTTGTATAAAGACTCCTGCCTTGGGCAGAGGGTTTCATAAGTTTCATAAGTTTGTTTGTCAAGCATATATAAGATAACAGGTAAAAGTATAAACATAATTTGAATACATGAAAAGAGTCAGTAAAAAGGAATATTAAGACAGGGACAGTAGGCACACTGGTGCACTTATGCACGCCCCTTACAGACTCTTAGGAATGGGGTGAGGTCAACAGTAGACAGTTTAAGGTTAAAGTTTTGGGGGTTTGGGGAAGAAACTACAGAGTCAGGTAGTGCATTCCAGGCATTGACTAGTCTGTTACTGAAGTCATATTTTCTGCAATTGAGTTTGGAACGGTTTACCTTGAGTTTGTATCTCTTATTTTATTATTATTTTGGTCTAGAAGATCTCTAAGGTTCCTTCCAGCCCTATTATTCTATGGCTTGTGTTCTAACAGGAGATCCAATCAGTCAATCCTAAAGGAAATAAACTCCGACTGTCCTTTGGAAGGACAGATACCAAAGCTGAAGCTCAAATACTTTGGCCACCTAATAAGAAGAGAGGGCTCCTTGGAAAAGCCCCTGATGTTGGGAAAGATGGAAAGCAAAAGGAGAAGGGGACAGATAGATAGTGCCATCAATGCAATGAATGTGAATTGGATGACTCCAAGTGACAGTGGAGGACAGGGGGTCCCTGGAGTGTTGTGGTCCGTGGGGTTGCTAAGAGTCGGACACAATTTAGTGACTGAACAACAACAAGATTTAACAGCAACACTGACAGACCTAAGGAGTTTCTTTATGAAACTATAGAAACTGATCCCAGGAGCCTTTACTTGGGGCAGAAGAAAGCCATTTAGACAAGCCAGTCAAATCAATGGTTTCTTTTTTCCTCTCCCCTTGGTGCAGTAAAGTTCTTTGGATCCAGAGTTGATCAATTTCCACTGAGCTCCTTTTGCTGTCCCCACTTTGGGATGTAATCCTCAACCTTATAAACATCAGGCTGCAAACTCCAGGCTACAAAAAGGGGAGGGGATTAAAAATCAAACCAACATCAGATCCCTTGGAACCACCATTTTGTCCATCTCCAACCTCTAAATCAACTCAGGCAGTGAAGTTACTGTCTAATGAGACAGATATAGCTCTAACAACATCCTACCTCTGTTTGGTCCAGCCCATGTCAGAAGCTCTTACACATCACACACAGAGACACACAGAGACACACATATACCAGGCAGAGCTTCAGTTACACCATTGGGTACACCAAGATGACTTTTTCCCTCTGTGGACCCCTGATCCCATTTTCTTTTCAGACTCAAGGAATCCTAAAAGAATCTAGATTACTGTGCTCAGGTTAATCCCAGCACTTATTTCCACATTATTTTCAAACCATGCAATAACTCAAAAACAACAACAGTCATTACAGAATGGATTCCTGTGGTGTACCTCTATAGGTACCATAGAGACCTTTATAGTTGGAAGTGCGTGTTTATTTTGTGACTGCAATAGAAATCTGTTTTTATTCTAAAAAGTCATATTCCTCATTTTTTCTCCATCTTTAATGTGCCAGTCAACATGGTTGATGAATTTTATGTGTTGCCAGACACTAATCTCTCCAACTAATTGGAACGTGCAACTAATCTCTCCTTACAAATCCATCTTCTAAGTTCTTGGCAACTGGCATCAATCCAGTTTAAATCACTTCCTGAGGGTTTTATGGCAGCGCAGTCTTCATCTGCTTCTCCATCATTGAAGATCCATTGGGATTGCCATCGGCCCAGTATCTAAGAAGAAAGAGAGGGAGGGTTGGTGTCCTAACTGCATCATATGCTCAAATTTCATATTCGCTGGCTGCCAGCCTGCCATGAACTATGGGGGTAGAGAGCCAATCGGGAGGGGGGAAAGCTAACAACTCATCGTAGCTTCCAGAGACACCATCTCAAGATCAAAGGGCTGGGAATGGAAGAGACAGTTCCCAAAACAATTAATTCAAATATAATTGGATAATAAGAGACCAGCAAGAGGGAAGGAACTGGATAGGGAAAGTTAGCTGGGAAAATTTGGCACGCAAACTTCAGCTCTGGCTTTGCTATACTGTAATCCACTTGGCCTTTAGTAAAGTAAACCTTTCACACCGAATGGAGTCGAGGGTCATTCTTACTTAAGGAACCAAGTTGGGGCAGGACTGACAGTTGGATCTCTACATGCAGCAAAAGGAGTACAAAGTTCTTTAAAGGAAAGACAATTTTAGAGTGGAGGTGGAGATAAGAAGGAGTGGAGGATGTCTGAGGGACTTGCCGCTCTTCTCCCCACTGCTGCCCCCCGTTGTTCACTTTCCCAGTGAAGGTTGGCAGAATCCCTGGAGATGCAAGATCAAGCCAATATGTGCTTCTTTGCCCAAAATTTGGAGGGCTCACTTGCAAACGAGAAGAGGACCAATTGCATAAGGCTGAGATCCAAACCTTTGCCCATTCTGAAGCATAGGCTGCATTGGAGCAAGAATCGGCACAAATGAACTGGGTTCACACATTAGGCGAGGTTGGGTCATTCATGGTTCAGTCTGCTGGAAATCCAGCCCATTTTCTCAGCAAGTTATGTGAAAGCAGGCCATTGTATGAAGCCATAATATTGTTGATTTCGTCTGGCTACAGTGCATCACGTGACAACGGGAAGCATGCATAAACTCTTACATTTAGCATAAACTCTGTTAGCATTAATCATACTCCGTAGCACCCATGCCAATCTGAGCTGCCTGGAGCCTAAATTAAGAAATTTATTTAATTAAGCTACAGGTTTGACATAAGGCTTGAGGGGTAGACTTTAAATGATCATATTCCTGGAGACTCACTGTATTATTAATCTGGAACCATCCGACCACTCCCAGTGGCCTTCCACATTTTCATCCGTTAGGCCAATCCAGGCAGACTCGTTGAGCTTTGAAGAGATGTACTTCTACAAAGACACAAAAATGGAAAGAAAAAGTGGGGCAGCTTCACAAAATGGGATTTCACACTCAAGAGAAGTGTGTAGCCTCAGTGTCCAAAATTAACAACAAACAGTTCACTGTTGCTCGCCAAAGAACTCCGTTCTGCCTGAAGAAAAATCAGCTCTGGGCTGTGCTGTGGTGAGGCAAGTCACATCACGGTTTTAAAGATGGGACACAGGGGCTTCCACCTTTATGCCCCACCCCTGTTCAGTGGAAGCATGCCAAGAACACGGTTAGCAGCCTTCTGAGTGGGGGGTGGGAGTCAAAGAGTTTATTCTGAATGGGAGCCATTTCGGCCTGTCACCTCTGATCTTCTCATTCAGGCTCCATTGCGTAAAGTGTCCTGGTCAGTTAAGATACAAAAGATACAGAAAAAGATACAGAAGTTGGAAGGGACCTTGGAGGTCTTCTAGTCCAACCCTCTGCTCAAGCAGGGGACCTGATCTCATTCCAGTCAAATAGCTGTCCAATCTCTTCTTAAAAACCTCCAGTGATGATGCAACCCCTTTTGCAAAAAGTTATCAAACACTTGTGCATGGAAATTTAAAACAATAGCAGAGAAGGATAGGAAGATGCCAGCATTTAGCCAAGGTGGAGTGCTGTGTTGAAAGCCCCCAAATATGAGAAGGAAGAGAATAGTAATAGTAATAGTAGTAGTAGTAGTATCAAACCTGTTCTTCCTCATTCAGGATGGAAGTCAAGTGGGAATCTCTGGACTTGCAAAAGTACTTGGCATCGTGCCAGGTTTTCTTTTCATTTGCTTTTGAAACATAGTAGAGATTCCAGCCAAAAAGCTTCCAGTTATCACTAATTTTTGATCCTTTTTTAAACAGAGCTTCTAAGAGGAATTAACGCAAAGAGAAAAATATATGTTAGCAGATTCTGCATTGAGCAATTTTGGGTTTTTTTAATAAAATAAAATAAACAAACTTTATTGTCATTGTATGTGTATACACAGTATACACATACAACGAAATTTACTTAACACCCAAAGACCAAGTCCAACACACATAATCCCCAAACACACTCCCACCCACCACAATTCACCACCCCTAAACCACCCAAACATCCACACAACAGACCAAGTAATACTGTCCAACACTTCTAACTGCATCTGTGGAGCATCACTGGGGCTCTATTCTATTTTATTAATTTAATTTATTTGTGATATTTAAAATATAGGGTGTTATTCCATGAAAAATATTTATGCTACTTTCTAATGGGTTTATTATTTATTTATTACTGATGTTTGTTTGTTTATAAATATAACCAACAAACAAAAATTCTTTGGGGTCATCCATAATTTTTCAACTGGGAAGGGTCTTTAAGGGGAAATGTTAAGAGATGCTGCCTTAAAGAAGCCTTGAGCACCAGAACAAGGAAGCGAGGAGGAGGAGGAGGAGGAGGAGGAGGAGGAGGAGGAGGAGGAGGAGGAGGAGGAGACATTCAGCATCAGAACTTTAATGCCTTAAATTTGGAGGAGATAAAAGGTAAATTTATAGATGTTGAGTCCCCTTCTTTACTACATTGGGGTAGAATGATAAATTACGACATAGCATTCTCTTTCAAAACAAAATACTTACGATATCTCTTTTTGTCTGCGGCAAAGCCATTTTCAGATTCCTTGAACAGTTGCGGCATTCTCTCTACTAACTTTGAAACCTTCATAGCTAAAACCAGATGTAATTAGAAGTTGATTTCCTGTTCCACACTCAAAACAAACACTTGCAGGAAGAAACTCTGGCAGATTTAAAGGCTCCCCATCCCCTAAAATCTAGGAATGTGCAGTGACGATTGGGAAGATGGGATTATTTTTGAACATTTGAGTATTTTGAGATTTATTTTTTTTAAACTTCCCAGTTTGGCCAAACAGACCTAGAATTACCTAAAGTAGAGAATATTTGTAGCTCAGGGTTGGTCTCTGGGCTCTGGTTATATACCTGGCTTTGCTCTTGTCTTTGGCCATCATATCAAACCCTCATTAAAAGCAGGACAAGTTAGGTCCTTGCCCTCGTTCTAATTCCAGGTTACTGACTTGGTATCACTTCACCTCCTTGCCGTGGTCAAAGACTTTGGGGAAAAGGTGAGAGTTGCTTTCATGATCAATAATTGGAAAAGTGAACTGTTCGGGGCTGGAGATTTGTGAAGCAGAGGCAAACACTCGACCAAGAAAAGCTGCCCGGAGGTGGTTCATAACCCTCACTGTGGAGGACAGGCGAAGCCTAGCGCTGGTGTTGTACAAGATCCCTTGAACGAAGGAGTACCGTTAAGCCTTGTGTTATTACTGTGCCAGGCAGAACGCAAATCATTCTTATCCGCTCTTCCAACTATGATGTTACTTGGCAGGATGTGTCTTTAGAAAAAGGGTCTCGTTTCCTCTTCCTTGGTCTCAGAATAGGATTGTAGTTCCAAACTAGTCAGACCCAAGTCAGGATCACCTTTTGCACTTACCATTCTCATTATGCTTGATCTTTTCATCCCTGACCCCGATGGACAAAGTAATCCTTAGTTTTTTCATAGGCTCTTCATAAAGACTCCAGTCTTCCACAAGCATTGCATTGTCTAAAGTGATTAAGTCACATAGAGGTTAAGGTTTGAAAATGCCCTCTTGATGCTTGGAACATCAGCTTTCACCAATGCAACACCTTCTGAAGAGCTTCACATGGGAGAAGGTTAACCTAGTGAGACTGGTTTCCAGGGCCTGAAAAAGTTATTTATTCCCCTCGATGACTGTCATGCTAAGAGATGTCAAAAATTCATGATGGCAATTGCAACACAATGGCTGAAAAAAAGATGAAGTGTTAATTGTACTACTGTGGCCACCATCTTGTCTTTTATGACGACACCTGTGGACATCCCTGCACACACTGGATAGCAGAGCTGGGCTTGGGACTGGCTTGGTTCATTCACTGATTGCTTAGTGCAGGGATGTCAAACTCGCATCATCAGGGTGTTATCATGTGACATATCGGGACTTTTTCCCCCTTTGCTAAACCAGGCGGGGACGTGGCCAGCATGTGACGCATCTGGGCTGCGGGCCACGAGTTTGACAGCCCTGGCTTAGTACATTTTCAATAATTATATATAGTCCATCAATAGACCCTCTTGTATTTGAATGATTTATTTCTATCCTGTGTATTTGGTTATGCAAAATGTGTTTATTGACATTTTATTAGATTTATGTGGCCACAAAGAATCTTATCCTTTCTTATCCTATCTTATCTTCTCTTAAATATAACCGTGCTATAGTCCATGTGCCCATTACATTTCCTTAGTGTATTCGTATTTAAAAAAAATAAATGTATATATTTAAGAAGTTTCTAAGTATCTAAGACCTAAATGCTATTAAGCTACAATTCACATCCTCAGATGATTTTGTGCCTTTTCATAAAATGTGTTGGTGAGAAACATCACATGCATTCCGATGTTTTGATTCTATGGACTAACACAGCTCTCCTACCACTGCTTAATATCTAAGCATTCTCTGAAGAAGAGGATTAGCCATCAATCACATCCATCATTGCCAAAATAACCCTAAACCTTTGATCAGAAGAAATGGGCTGACAGAGACAAATTAATTGATCGCCCCGAAAAGTATATAGTAAGTTCTAAACCCTAATGGGGTAGAATTTGGGGGAACTGAGATATTTCTAGATGACAGTCTGCCCCCAAAGGGATTATAATTTGCATTGTTCATTTTGGTTCAAGATGGGGTACATGCAGTCCAAAACCAGGGAACGCAGAATGGGTGCCAAAAAAGTCTAGATGGTGACTTGATTCTGGTTACATTGTGTTTGTGAATACTCTCAGGATCTCCTAGGATCCTGATTGGAGAGCATTAGTAGTATCGCTTTATAAAGCCTTATTAAGACCAAACTTAGAATACTGTATCCAGTTTTGATCACCATATTATAAAAAAGACATAGAGTCTGAACAAAGTGCAAAGAAGAGCAGCAAAGTGTCGACCCAGAAGATGACATATGTGTAGCCATATTTTATTGTTCCCTTTGTCTATTTTCTTAGCTTTATTTAGATTTCTGCAAAGGATTTTAACGGTACTTCAGGCTCGCCACACTCTAGCTGTTGAAAGGGCGGTTATAGTGATAAAGGGGACATGTTATGTCTAGATGGCATAATTTCCCGTGGGAACAGAGAAGATGCCTGCAGCTGGAGGAAGGTGAAGTCTGGAGTCATAGGACTGATGGACTGAGAATTGATTGGAGATTGTGACTCTGGGGAGGGAGTTTCAAACTTTTGCTTTTTACTGGGTGTAATTCCGGAATCTGCTGGAACTACAACAAGACCTTGCCAATTTGGTATGTTCCTAATAAACAGACTTTAAAGAAAGATGGATGCCTTGGATTTTATTTCTGGGAACATATTACTTGGAACTTTGACACAAAGATGATTAGGGGACTGGAGACTAAAACATATGAAAAACAGTTGCAGGAGTTGGGTATTCTAGAGAAAAGAAGGACTGGGGGGGGGGAACATGATAGCAATTTTCCAATATTTGAGGAGCTGCCACAAAGAAGAGGGGGTCATCCTATTCTCCAAAGCAGTTGAAGGCAGAACAATAAGCGATGGATGGAAACCAATCAAGGAGAGAACCAACCTAGAATTCAGGAGAAATTTCCTGACAGAACAGTTAATTAGTAGAACAGTTTGCATCCAGAAGTTGTGGTTGCTCCAACACTGAAGGCTTTTAAGAAGAGAGTGGACAGCCACCTGCCTGGAATGGTATAGCATCTCCTGCCTGAGCTGGAGAGTGGACTAGAAGACCTCCAAGGTCCCTTCCAACTCTCTTAGCCTGGATTCCATGAAAAGATCACGTTCACGAAAGAAAGTAGGGCCACCCAGCTTCTTCAGCTTCCAGGAAAGGAAAACATCCTTTAGCAAGAAGAACTAAACTTACATGTTTGGACTGATGTTGCCAAGATGACTGTAAGGACTCCTGCGGTGATAGAAATCATGATCCACCAGTACTTGATGCGGGTTTTCATAATAGGACTTTGGTTCAAGTCAATCTTGTCATCAGGAGCTGGTTTGGCTGGGGGTTCCTCAGGAGACATGGCTTGAGATAAAGAGGAAAGAAACGCCAGTCACATAAGACAGCAAGGGACAAAGGCCACACCCATAATCCACCATTTTTGGAATGTGGGCATTAAAACCAAGACTGACAAATGCTTAGCAGCCAACTGGTTGCCCTTCCAGCATTACAACTATCATAGCAGATATAGACTAACCACCAAGCAGCAGAGAACCTTGGAGTCTTCACAATGACAAAAATCATCAGGAAGGCCACACCTCTAAACTAGGAATGTGGGGTTCTGGCAAAGGCCAAGGACAGCTAAATGTCACCAGAAGGTCACAGATGGAGAAAGGAAGAAAGGACCATGAAAGTTCGGTATCAGAGTTCAAGAAGAGCCTGGATAGCTCAGCAGACTAATGCATTGTAATTTAACTCCAGCTGTCTGCAATAGTAAGTTCGAATCTCACCAGGCTCAAGGTTGACTCAGCCTTCCATCCTTTCTAAGGTAGGTGAAATGAGGACCCAGTTTGTGGGGGCAATAAGCTGACTTTGTATAAAATATACAAAAGAATGAAGGCTATTGCTTAACGCATTGTAAGCCGCCCTGAGTCTCCGGAGAAGGGGGGGCATATAAATCAAATTAAAAAAAAGAAAAGAATTGAAGAACATTTGAATAAATTTATCCAAGGAAAGATGGCTTGATGAAGCCCACCAATCCTAGATTCAGTTCTTGAGCCCTTCAGATAATATCAGTGGGGTCTGGCATTGATACAGTTAAGACTCCATTTTGTCCATTTCTACTTCATGAGCTGCGCTGGTTACTCTTGCACCTCCGGGTGCAATTCAAGATGTCTTGAAGTCATTTATAAATAGGACCTGAGGATTATGGGACATAGGTTCCCGCACTTCAGAGCTGTCTATATCACTGGATCGGCTCAAGTACAGGGGTTTGCTTCAGTTGCCCTCTGGAGAACAAGGGTTTTCCATTGTTGGAGAGAACAGCAAGGATTTAAGAACAATTGACAACATGCCAGGAGCATAGATACAGCCAAACCAGAACTTTAGAGCCAAAAAACATTTCTACCCAACGAAAAAGAAGAAGGAAGCCAGGAGCATCAGCCTCCTGATGAAGTGAGAACATTTCCTGGTCAGCTCTCCCACTGATGGGGAACAGTTGGTCACTCTCAAGGCATCATTTGGTTAATCTGTACCTCCTCGCTAAGAATCTCCTTAGGCAGAGTTGTTCTTGGCTCTTTTGTTACTTGACTTCTGCACGTGGAATTGTGTGGATTGAGTAGTCCCTCCTTCCTCTGGCCTGGCTTGCTTGCTTTCTCTTCCCAGGTGAAGGCACCCCCTTTCTTGTGACTTAAGCAGCCTGTTGATTGGCTGCTGTGGGTCCTCAGCAAAGCACAGCTGTGGAGGGATTGTGATGGCACTGCCAAGGGAGCAGCCCTGGAGAAGTAGCCCTTGGCATCATGTAGCTCACATCTCTGGACTGGCCCTGGATATTATTGTGTGAGAGAAGTTCTCCTCTTCAAAGGAAGGGCTGAGTAGATTCTCAGGAGCTTTGGGGTTTCCGTAGTTCCCCACCTTCCTCCTGAGTTGCTGAGACCCAGTGTCAGCTTTGGAAGCCATATTAACCCCAGAAGCTTCCACGCTGCCACCTTCTTGTGCTTTAGAAAATAGGAGAGTGGATCTAATAGGGGGTTTGTAGTTAGACATAATAGCATTCTTCCCTTCAGTCAATGTCATTGTGTTCCTGCATCTGGAGGAGGCGTGGTTGCAGTGATGGCTCAAGTTGAGACGGATGATGATTGGGCCATGTGATGGACTGATGGGTACAGAGGCTGGATTTGGGATTTTGATTTAACTGAGGTAAAACCCAGAACTCTCAGATTTGGGTTTTCCCAGATGTGCCAGTATATCTACTCTAATAAACTGGAACTTTGAGAAAATGCCTGTCTCTGAGTTTTTAATTGGAGTTGGGTTGTTCTGGAACACTGACATTCAGTTTGCTGTAAGGGTTCAAGGCACAGGGTCAGGAACCGGGATACAGAGAGTTCTAATTCTGCCTTAGACACGAGGACAGCTTGAGTGGCTTTGGGCCAATCTCTGACTCTCAACCTCAGGAAGAAGAAGGCAAGGCAAATGCCAAGAAAACCACGTGGACTTGCCCCATAGTTGCCAGAAGTCAAGACTGACTCAAAGGTGAACTGGACTACTTCAGTAGTCATTATACGTGTGGCTGTCCTTGAAGATGATTTAGGAGCTTCATTTGGTCCAGAATTCTACAGCCTGAGGATGATGATGATGAGGAGGAGGAGGAGGAGGATATCCATTGAGTCATGTCTGACTTTTGGTGATTCTGTGGACCAGGTCTCTCCACATCTTCCAATCTTGCACTACTTCAATACGATTCACAATTGCACAATTGTGAACAGAAAACACAATGGCACTGAGCCAGGCTAAGATTCGATATTGGGATAAAACTCAAATATTAGAAATCCAAATCTTTGGTCAAGACAGAAGTGCCTCTTCCGTGCCAAGGTGCTAAGATGGCAAAAAGTATTTGACGTAGGTACAGAATTGTAAAAGGGCAAACTGACCCTAAACAGATACATCCTGTTGTTTAATGTTTATTACACCCCAAATGTCATGTATATCCTAAGATGAGAAATACTGCTTCCTCTATTGCCCTTGAGGCGTCTCTAAGCCCCTTATCTCCTCTTTTATTATGTCTTGAGTTCCGGAGCTGAGAACCTGAGCCTGTGGGAAAAAGGCTGTTATGTCTTTCCTAGAGGTAGATTAAAGGGTAACTTCTACGTGTGAAATGTCTCACTCTTCATAATAACTTTGCCTTTATACTGTATAAATATCTGGCCAAAAACAGCCATCATTGTTCAGACCCTTTGCTGCCTTTGGACTGTTTGAACCGTGCACAATAAACTCTTTCCTGCATTGAAGAGCTTGGCCTAGGTTCCGTCATTTCTCCTATAACAGCACAGTTCAACAGCCTAGCGGTTGGCAAACCTGCTGACCTAAGCATGTGACAAGAAAGCTCCATTGCACGGCCCTGTTAGCTTCTGGGTTTAATTAAAAAAACTGGGTTTGACCCTTAAAGCCCCACAGGGCTTGGTACCCACACATCTCCAGGACCATCTCCTCCTCCTCCTCCCTCAGGTTTAGACCTCAAAAATCTTGGGAGAATGTTATTTATTTATTTATTTTATTTGTTTGTTTGTTTATTTGTTTGTTTTATTTAAGGAAGGAAGGAAGGAAGGAAGGAAGGAAGGAAGGAAGGAAGGAAGGAAGGCATTCCTCTTGCAGTCTTCTCTAGAGGTACACAGTCTTTGTTTTGCATTATGGGGTCTCTGAGTGGGCTGAGGTCTGGGAACACTAAGTTCTTTTCCTTGAATTTAGCTTTCCCAGAAAACTAAGCTGGGAGCTGGGCTTGACATCTGGGGGACTCCAGGAAGTTTTCTTGAGAAAGAGACGGATGTGATTGGATCCTTCCTTCCGCCAGCTTGCTTTTCCAACCTCTTGTTCCAGCCTGTGGCTGGAGATTTCCTGGCAGTGTCTTCTCCTATTTTATTCTTATTGTGGTTGTTGTTAAATTGGTGCAACAACACAAAATCTTTGGACTCTCCTAAGCAAGAAGTCTATATTAACACCTTGACCTTCTGAGCCTTTCAAGTGTCCTGCTTGTGCACCTCTAATTGTCAGGATGCACTGAGCTTTCTGCTTCTTTGGGGCTTCTAGCAAGGGGGGCACAGTTATCCTTTTCCCCGATCGAAGATTGCCACACCCCTTCAATCTGGGGTGGTCGTCCTCTTCCCTTGAGTGCAGAAGTTTGGGGGAGAGGTACACAGAACAATGATGGCAGAATGGGGCACCCAGTCATCCAGCCAGATCAGCGGAATCCACCCTGGCAACCAATGGGGTGGCAGATGAGCCAGATCACCCAGCCTTGTTTGGGGAAATCATCTCGGCAGAGATAACAGCTGATTGCTGACCCAGAAGAGTCCCCGTCCACTCACTCTGTGGCTTTTTCAGGGCTTGAATCAGCCTCAAGGCCAAAATTACGACATCCATGTGAACGCTGCCCTGCTGGGACTGTCCTGGGCTCCGATAAAAGGCCGCATCTTGACCCTAAAAGATCATGTAAGATCGACCAACCAGTCCAAGGAAGCTCTCAGCCATGGGAACGATGCAGTGTCCAGGTCCTCCCGTTTAAGAAGGGGACTCTGGGAGTTCTTTAAGACCTGAACAATTGGGGGAAGGGTGTCACCTGCTCTTCAGAGTTTAGGACAGAGGTCAGATGGGCCTCTCTGGACGTGCAGAAGTTCTCCACCTCTTACCAGGTCTTTTCCCCCCGGGATACGTATTAGAGACCATTCCCAAAAGGATGCCACGCCATCCCAGACTTTCAACTTTTCCTGAAGAGGGAGTATGCATAAAACGGGGGGGGGGGGGAGAGGGGGAAGAAAAGTACAAAGCACTGAGTAACTGGGAGGAGGGGGGAGGAACAAAAGCCCCCCTCCCCCAGTACATCAGTGTCAGGGTTCCAAGTAAAAACCCAGATGATATCAAAACTCCAAGGAAGGATTCCTCAAAGTATAGATTTATTAAGCATGTCATATTGGCACAGCTGGTGAAAATCCGAATCTGACGACCCCCAGGTTTTCCCCACTCAATTCAAATTCCAAAGTTCTTCCCCACATTATTCAACCATCACGTGCCTCAATCAGGTCTTTCTCCCCATCGCCAGACACCTCCCATCCATGCCTCTCCAGGTGCTGCTGAGAGTGTCCTTGGTTCACAGAAGAAAGAATATGTATTTTGGCTACATATTCCACTCAGCTATCTCTACTCCCCCTTCCCTTTCCCACAGCTCCAGCCAGCTTCACTGTGGCAACCCTGGCGATGCTCAAAGATGGCTCCAGGGTTGACCGGCTGCTCTTCCTCACACAAAAAGGACGTCCTGAAAAAGGAAAGAAAGGCCACAGAGAATTAAACTGAACCCACTCAGCCTCCCTGACCTCCTCTAGGTGGCTCTGTGGGTTTCCCCGGGTACTTATCGTGAAATTGCTTGGCCAACCTGTCTGCTTTCACATCCCAACTCTTAACCCAAGTGGCTTCAGACAGGGGATAGCCTTTCCAATGGACTAAGTACTGAAGCTGACCCTGATGTACGCATGAATCCAAAATTCTTTTCACCTCATTGTGGGTCTCTCCCTGCACCACCATAGTCTTTGGGGCTCTCCGGTCAACTGGCCTTAGCTGGGAGCTGACTGCTGGCTTTAACAAGCTGCTATGAAAAACTGGATGCACTTTCCAAAGCAAGCGTTGGAGGCCATGCTGAATGTTTACGGGGTTTATTATTTTCACGATCGGGAATGGCCCCCAAAACTTAGGTCCTAGTTTTTTACTTGGCAATCTCTGTCACTGCGTTATTTTATTTCCCAGCTGAGCTTCATTATTTCTGGACTATCAGACTTTCCATACTTTGCCAAGAATTGTTATCAAAAGCTACGCATGTCCATCCACCCCACATTCCCTCACACTCCTTTTCCTTTGTTCTCCTGCCACAGAGGTCCGGCTGGACCGGCAGGAGACCTCGCTTGCCAAAATGTAACAATTATCTTTCTTAGTTAGTGAGGTGTTTTATTTCCTTTATAACAAATAAATGAGTTTTATTAGAGAACTTTTCTTCACGTTTCTTTTCAGAATATTGCAAACTTGGAGAGGCCATGATCCATCTCCTCTAATCAGGGTGATTGTCCCAGAGCCAAAAATGGGATTAATCAATGCCCTGACAATCTCAACCTCAAGTACTTCATTGACTGATACACTTTACTGCCAACCCGAAAAGGAGGTTGGGGGGAGTGGCGCTTATCGGCTTGAGCTTTATAGCTTTTCGCCACTTCCACCAAGGCTTGCTTGGTATTTTCCCAATCCTGTTTCAAAGAGTCCATCCAGTCATTCAGGGACATAGAGGATGGTGGCTCTGTGGGTAGCTCCAGCCTGGGGACAAACTCCAGGCCACTGGTGATCCAGAAGGGGGTCAAGCCAGTGCTGCTATGAACCGTATTTTTGTAAGCGGCCTCTGATAATGGCAGCAGGTCTTCCCAGTCAGACTGCTGATAGTCCACATAGCACCTCAGGTACTGCTCCACCATGGCGTTTGCTCATTCTGCCGCCCCATTAGTACTTGAATGGAAAGCCAAGCTGAGGCTCTGGGAGGACCTATGGCTCTCAGGAACTCCCTCCAGAACTTTGCTGTGAACTGGATCCCCCCATCAGAAACAATCCTACAGGGGACCCCAGGCAATCTATAGATTCGCTTTATAAACATCCAAGCCAAT